AGATATCAGTCAAATAGCCCTGTATCCATTCAGGAAGGTTCTGAGTCCTTGATGCAATATTGCCTTTTCCTGTTTCAGAAGATGAATGGGAAATCATTCAGCAGATATGAAGGAAGGATAGATCCACAATTGTATAATCATTTTTAAGTCACTCTGTCAAACCAGGAAGCAAAATACTGGAATGGTGAAGGAGAAAACAACATAAAACACATGAAAGAGTCTCAGAGTTCATGCCTGAGGAGAGCTACAGAGGAAGGCAGCTAGGAGGCTTACTGTCCCAGTAGTAATAAAGGTCCTCAACCAATCGTTTCCCTCTTAGCTGTCCCTTTAAAAGAATGCTTTATGAACTGGGCCTCTGACTCGGTGTGCCTGGCATGAGCACAATCCTGGGGTTGATCCTAAACACCAAAACAAGCAAAAACTGAAAACGATGTACCGGTGGAGATTAGCTCAGGTAGTAAAGGTCAGTAGCTATAAACTGTGATGAGGAGCAGGGCTCACATGGGCTTCAAAAGTGTCTCCAAGACTGTGAATGACTGCATGCACAGAAATCAGGTGAACAACCTCACCTGAGGAGAGAAACAAGCCGCCTTGTGGGAGATGGCAAGCATGCCTGGGAAGGACAACCTGAGCAAGTGTCACGTGACACCAAGGCTTAGAATGCCTAAATTCCACAGAATCAGTAGGAGCTATCAATCACATTTGAAACTGAAGGCTTTACCAGGAGGAAGGCTGTGTTGCTGCGAAGACAAAGGCTGAGGGATTTCCGAAGAGGACATTAAGATAGGATCGGTTGATTTCCTGTTGTAGCTAGAACAAATTACCGCAGAGCTAGTAGACATAGGGAATAAATCTTACTAAGCTAAAATTAAGTCACTCACCAGTACTGAGGGAAAACTTTGCCCTGCCCTTTCTGGTTCCTACAGGCTACCCACCAGTATCCCTGTAGCCACTGCTTTCATTTTTAAAGCCGGCTGCAGAGTATTTGCAAATCTCCCTCTGTATCTCAGATCAGATTCCTTGATAAGGATGCAATCACATTCATTGGTGCTGAGCCCACTTGCCAATAAAATCTGAACTGAACTACTTCTTGATAGTCCAGGCTAATCTTCTCATCTCGAAATCTTAACTGAATTACTTCTTCAAAGTCCCTGCAGTGAGATAAATTAACTGGACTATGATACCTTGGGGGGTGATCACTAGTCTTGATATTAAGATCATGCTACTGGAGGCTCAGCACTGTTCCATGCCCCAAGTTCAGTTCTCAGTACCCATACCTAGCAATACCTCTAGTCTCCATAGCACCTGCACACCTGCACTCATGTGAATGCACGCACGTGCATGTGTATGTGTATGTGTATGTACCCACAATGTAAATTAATAAAGATACATCTTTAAAAATTAAAATGTAAATCATGATCATAGAATGAACCTTTACCAGAGGAACAAAAATGAAAACACGGCGAAATTAAAACTGAAGACAGACAATACATTAAAATATAATGGCTGCTGCTAAATTTACTAGAGTTGAAAATGCCTTGCTGATAGGTAAGATAATTATCCTCTACGTAAGAAACACATACTAGCTGGGCAGTGGCAGGCAGATCTCTGTGAGTTCGAGTCCACTCTGGTCTATAGAGTGAGTTTCAGGACAGCCAGGGCTGTTTCACAGAGAAACCCTATCTTGAAAAACCCAAAAATACAAAACAAAACAAAAAACCTAAAGTATTCAAAAGTAAATGGCCATGATGTACACAATTTATTTGGAAAGCTAATATAAGACATAATTATATAGGAAAAGATAGCCTTGATAAAGCAGATGGATGTTGAAGAAAAAAAAACAAACACTTGAACCTGGATTAGAGCATATTTGAATATTCTTGCAATTACTCTGTATAAGGAAAGGCATTTCCAAAGAAAAAGAAAACTCTGTGTGTGTATGTGTGTGTGTGTGTGTGTGTGTGTGTGTGTGTGTGTGTGTATTCCAGCACCTCCTGGTATATGGACTGATACACACTTTGGAACACACATAGCTAAGTAAGGAGCTTCAGCTACCCCATGTCCATTATTTCTATAGTAACTGCTGGGTGAATGAAAGAGCCAGCAACGTTCATTCAGGTATTTCTAAGCTTCATAGGTTGACGGGAAAATCCTACCCATCCTCCAGTAGTGAAGATTTTGAACTGGTGATTATCAGTAGACTCAAATACTAACTGGATGATCACAACATGCTATTTCTGAGAGACAATCTGCTGGGTTACTTCCTAAGACCCTTGAGGGAGGAAAGTAGACTTTTCCTTTTCAGTATTTAGCTGGTTTTTACAATAAAAGTGAAAAGTAAACAGCATCCTGCCCAGTGCCCAAGGCTGACTTTTATTGCTTTGGCCCCAGGGAATCTTTCTGGCATCAAGTCCCCCTCCACCCTCCATTGTTTAAAGACAAAAGATTAGGCAGCTGGGGCTCTGACCACCAACAAATCACCACAGGCCACTCAACTGGGAAATGCCTCTGGTCTTGGCAGAGATGAACCCTTTAAAACGAAGGTAAAGGCTAAGACCCCAGTTTCTATGCTAAGCCCTCCACACTAGCTTGCTTTTCCTGCCAACGGTGGTGGCCAAGAACAATGTTTCTCAGTAGTTCCATGATAGCATGCCAAGACCAAATAATAGCAGGCTTCTCTCAATTGCAGAAACACGCACAAAATATGTGGCAATCAGGCGACTTTATTTTTACAAGCTTGGCTTTAGCTATCACCAGCCCATACTGAAATTTATGATTTAGCACCATCTATGATGAGACCAGCACAAAATCATCTATTTAGTTATTTCCCGCTCAACACTTGCTTTTGAAAAGAGCTTCAGGGTTGCTTTGAACAAGTCTGGCAATTGCCAGGCTCAAGGGGACTGCAGTCAAGAGTGGGAAGGAGTCTTTATTACCTAGAAACTTCCTTCTAACACTTGGCTCACCACTGTAATTATTTATGTCCCCATTTTCAGTAACCCAGGGTTAAGAGTCAGATGGGTGAGGTGGGGTGGGGTGGGATGGGGGGGTATGCTTCTTAGGTCTGTCATGTTCAAGCTGTAGAACCCTGGTCAAAATAAGTCTGGGCTGTAAATCTCCTTGAGTCTTTCATAAAATATGAATAAGAGTAGTCTGCCTAATTTACAGGCTCTCTCTCACCTTTGTTGGGGGGAGTGACATCCTTTGTTTCGAAAATGAGAGAGAAATGTTACAAAAGGGTTACATACGCTTCTCAGTTTTTATTATGACGTTTTCATTATCTGCTTTTTGTAATGCTGCGGATGGAATCCAGGACCTTACATATGCTGGGCAAGTACTTGAATGCTCAGGGTAGAATTTGTAACCTTGGGAGCACAGGTTCAGTTTTGACTACGTGATCAAATGACTGCATTGACTAATTTTCAAACTGCTATACTTTATGTCTCTATTCGCAGAGAGCTCTATCACCTGAATTGACAGATGGTGGCCGGGCTCAAGGATAGTAGTCCAGCTTGAAGATCCATGTTCTAGGGAGTTCTAAAGAACTTTCAGTAGCTCATGCTAAAATGGTCGCCAAGTAACATGCTAAAATGATTACCAAGTAAAGGAAGTATAGCCACGGTCAGTCTCTTGATATGAAAACCTTATGTACTATTTGAAAGGTGTTTTAAAGAAAGTACTAATATGCTAAGCTGGTTATCATTTTGATTGACTGATGCACAGAACCCAGAAACAACACATGTATCATCAACATGCAGTCAGCATTTGGTATAGGGAAATATGGGCGTTGCAAAGGAGAGAGCAGCCCAAGAGGCCTTAAATTTACTTCAGGGTTACACCAGCTACAGTGAATCGCTGTGCACAGCATGTATGTTGAAAACACGTGACTGAGTTGCAAGCAGTAGCACACAGTATAACAGCATTAATACTATATCTTTTAGTATGGCAAACGTTGAGGTCTTATTAGTGTATAAAAGCATGCAGAGTTACCATACATCTTTTTGGTCTACATAAGTCTGCTGGAGTTTGTCCACAGCCTAGCATCTAAGAACTTCCATCAAAACAGAAAATTCCAGCTCAGAGTAGCTCGTACCACTAAGAGACACTTCAGGGAGTAACGGAGATGGGGGAAGTATACTATGAGGCCGAGTGTTTTCCCATCGGGGAGATACATCTGAAGCAGATACTGTGCAATGCCAACGTGTGACAAGCTCCATGAGGAGGCTATACATACCACATTTATTTCATACTCACAAATTCTGACACTACATAGTTAATAGCATTTTAGTGACAGAGTAGAATTTTTAATTACCACCACATACTTTTATTCAAATATCTATTGCATGGCTAATAAGTCCAGAAATAAAATATTCCATGCTCTTAAATAAAATAGGAATGATATATACACATACATAAACATATATATAAGTAGATATACACACATTTATTATATAGTAGACATTGTCAAGGAAAAAATAATTAGCATGACTTTACTTTCAAGCCCCTTTGGCAGATGTTGAGGGGAAAATGGGACATAAGTTGCTAAGTCTAATGAAGATGGTCTGTTTCCTTTTAGTTTACAGGCCTAAAACACAAGCTAGAATGCCCACTGTTAATCTAGCAATGGCTTGAGGGAAAAAATTTTTAAAAATTGTATAACTCAAAACCTACAGATATCATCTTCAAATCAAGACAAAGAGCAGAGAATTTCTTTAGTGTGGATGATCCCATTTCCCCCATTAGCTACTAAAATACAACTCAGAAATGTACAGATTACATACCAAAACATCCATCCCGGTGACATAGTTGAGGGCTATCATATAGTCATTTGGAAGATTTGCCACCTACAGAGACCAATAAATAAGTAAGTAAATACAAAAGAATTCCTTGAGACAATCCATACATTCCACCTGTCATATCATTTACATTCCATTCCCCTTTGTCATCCAAAACACAGTGACAAAACAAAACCTTTTGAATTCTCAATCTGATCATGGGTGGCTAAGTAGATTCCATACCTGGTACTGGAAACCTAGCCAATTACCCATGGCTAGCGAAATCACGAACCTTGGGGGACAACCTAAAACCACCACTTTATTAATTCTACTGAGTTTTGGAAAACATAACAAGAATCTTCATTTCCCACTATAGCCCCAGAATTTCCCTTCAGGACAACTTTTCAGTTTGTTTCTACGTAAGGCTATTACGCCTTTCTCGTCAGTAATTCTCAAGGCAATAGGTCATGACGAAGAAGGAAACTGCTAGAAGGGCAAGAGGTCTCAAGTCTCAGCAGATGTGCATTTTATCTAACAAGTCCTGCGGGGATGCTGACAAACGCTCAAGCTGGAAGGGTTCCATGTTGACCTTAGGAAGAGGCAAGAAAGCTTCGCGAGGACAAGGCTACTCTTGTCAGAAATGGACATTGGAATTAGAAAGGTTTAGTTTTGGGACAGGACTTGGTTCAGTTACATGGCATGCTTCACCTACCTGGCTAACTTCTAAAGGCTTTGAAAAAACATCCAACATGCTTAAAGCAACAGGCCTGGTATCAACGAACGAATAAGCAATGGGCTGACTGATCATACTAAAAGAGCTTGGAATTAAGCTAAACTCTCTTCATTTCCTTCATTTATAAAACAGATCCAGTTACCTGATACTAGGTAAGTGAATGTGCCAAACACAATTGTAAAATAGCAACCCATGTTCTTTATTGAGAACTAGCTAGGAAACCGGTTTCAAAGGCGCATAATGTCTTTATCCTCTGCTGTCTTCGTTGTTCCTATAGGAAGCTGGGATCACATGCATATTTACAAGGGTAGGTTATCTCCGACAAGTTTTCTATGACATAAGACATATGCTGCTTCTTGGTCTTGCTTTTAGAATCTGAAAGCAATTTGGTGAGAAAACGCCAGTCAAACACAAGTGAACAGAGCAAAGTTAAGATAGTAATTAGTCTCAGAGTGGCATTATTCCACCGCTCACCCGTTTCAGCCTCGGTGGACAAATTTAACAATTGCACTTTCTGCAACATTATGTGATGATTAATAACAAAGGGGTCTAGCAGTTTTCAAATATTCACACGATTCTAGGCACCATACTCTTAAGGGTGCAAGTGGTATTACCATTTCTCTGCCATGGTATCTCTATTTAACAAGTGAGACCTAATCACCTGAATTACGTCACTTGTGGGCTAGAATCCAGGCTTTTCCAGGAATGGAAGATACATTGCTGTATGTTTCAGCTGCACATGGCCATCTAGTGTTTGGCCCCATGTGCACTGGAACAGGCTGTACCCAACAGTCTACATGTCAAATACTACATACTAGCCTAGCATGGTGCCACATGCTGTAACCCTAGTAGCTGTGAGGCTTAGTGGCCAGACAGCAAATCAAATTCTCCTTGTGAATCTCCACCATTATCCATCTTTTACTATTCTCACTGTCAATTGGAAATAAACCTGAGCTTTTGTAGAAGGTGGTGCTGTTTTGGTTATTTTAGGAGTTAACTCTTTCATTCTATGCTTTTTTGTTGTTGTTTATTTTTGTTGTTGTTGTTTTTGTTTTGTTTTCGAGATGGGGTTTCTCTGTATTGTTTTGGAGGCTGTCCTGGAACTCGCTCTGTAGACCAGGCTGGCCTCGAACTCACAGAGATCCGCCTGCCTCTGCCTCCCAAATGCTAGGATTAAAGGCATGTGCCACCAATGCCCGGCTCCATTACACACTTTGATTTTCTTCTCCTCAACCAATTTTCCTACCATGCTTTCATTACTTCATTTGCCTTTCCTATCTTTACCCCAATTTCAAAAAGCAAAGCAACCTAGTCCTTGTACACAAGCCCTATCAACAAAAGACACAGTGTATGCCTTATATACCTTAACAGACATGAGATTGAGAAATTATTTATAGTTCATGATGGACTAACCATGTAGATTACAGTCATTCTACAAGGAACACACAAGGAATGGTAAGCATGCTGAACACAGGTTGCTGAAGAGCTGGTTTATATCACTTTTCAAAGTGGAAATTCAGAATCAGTGTTTAAAAACTTAGGATCAGGGTATACCAAAAGGATAGAGGTAAGGGAGATGCTGGCAGCTTCATTTTTATGAGAAATTAACACACAAGAGTTGACCTAAAGAAACTAAGGAAAGCTCACAGAAAACGTCTATGTCCAGGGCACTAGCATGTCCACTGTGTCAGTGAGAGGATGCAGCTAACACTAAGCTATTTGACTCCTGGTGGGACCAAAAGAAAGAAAGAGACAACTGTATTTGAATACAGCTTTACAATTCATAGTGCGTTCTCATACTGTCACTACTGTAACCCCACGAGACATGCCTTATTAGGCATATCTCACAAACGATGGGGAAGGAAGTATGAGGGTATGGAGGTTAAGTATGGAGGTTAAGTGGCTCCTCCAAGGTCAGAGGTACCGGGAGGACCTGGAGGAAGGAAGAAACCCTGGCTAACTGAGCTGCTGTCTGCCCACCAACCTCCAGTAAAGGCTCTTGTTAGCCCTTGGCTTTCCTTGTTTGCTTTCCAATTACCTTTGGAAGAGAATTCCAAGAACTGAGCTGTAGATATTAATTATAATTTCATAAGTCCTTGTATTACTTTCTCAGCACTTGCAGCATGTCAAACAGGACCAAGAAAACATGAATGACAATTCCATGTCTCTGTGTTTATTGATCTCTGGGGAAAGTTTTATAGAGAAGAGAGAGACTTGAAACTGACAGACAGATGTTGCTTGAAGGTAAGGAGTTTGAAGTTGGGGCCAACAGGCGCAGGTTCTGAAGACAGACATTTACATTGGATGCTCGCCCGCCACCTGCTAACTCAGGTCTGGGAAGTTACTTCAACTACTCCATCTTTCATTTCCATGTACATAAATGGAAATTAGACTAGACTGCGGCTAAAGGATTTATGAGGATTACATAATTCATACTAAGGGCTAGCTGGGCATGGCGATGCATTTGTGATTCTAGCGCTTTGGGAGCTGAAGCACAGGGTTAGTTATGAGTGTGAGACCCCAGAGATACACAATGTGTATGCAGCCCTCCTAGGTTACAGGGCATCAAATCCACAGTGGAAGAAAGGAAATGGTGAAAAGAAACTAAGGAGGGAGGGAGTGTAGGAAGTGCTTAGACGTGGTGTATAGAAGAGTGCACTGAAGTTGGGGAATACTGCATACAAAACTATCATATGTAAGTGAAGGACTGAAAAGCTTGTGGTATATTTGAAGGACTGGATAGAAAACAGACGTTGAATTAGAGACACGTTAGAGGGACAGCCGAATACTGGGCAAACAGATCCCTGTGAGAGACAGCACCACTCACTGGGAACAGTAGCCCTTAGGGACATCACATTATCTCCATGGGCTTTCTATTTTGTATGTGAAAGAGGATTAAGTGGATAATTACTAAGATTAAGTCTGGTTTAACTTTCTGGCAAGCAGGGAAGGAAAGGGGCAGTAAATTCAGGATGAATAGTCTAGAAGTGCAAATGGGAAAATGGAAATGTCGGAGACCAGCAGATCGTTACAGAGACACTAGGGATGTGGTGGACATCTGTTCAACATTTACACACAGAACGGAACTCTCTAGAAAAGCAGGAGCTAAAGCTAAGTGCTGGTGTGCACACCTGTGGTCCTAGCACTTAAGAGGTCAGGATAGGAAGATCAGGAGTTCAAAGTCATAGATATAGACTACATGGAGGGATGGCTAATTCAAGCCAGCTGGGGCTACCTGAAATGCCACTGGAAGAAGAAAAGATAGAAGAATGAAGGAAGAGAAAGAGGGAAAGAAGGTGAGCAGAGGGAAAAGAGAAGCAGGAACATACATGGCCTGGATTCTCCAGAAGTAGCATGATGGTGGTAGGGACCACATGCACTAACTGTACTAGAGGGAATCATTTGCAGTCTTCCTTGGACAGCTGAGGATTGACCACACTCAGTGACATAGGAAAAAAACAGCAAAGGTGAAGAGTTTTCGGAAAGGCTCAAAACTTTGCCAAGAAAAAAAGTCTTGGCAAGGCAAGCTGGCACTGGCTGCTCACCAGCCCCTGCAGGTATTTGGACTCAAGAGAAAAGAACACAAAGTTGGTACACTTAACTCCATCTCTGGGTCACTGATCTAAAATGCCTGGCTCTCATGACTCAAATGCCATCAAGGTCCCTAAAAGTCATGCAATCAATGGGTACTTGGACATCTGTGACAAGACCCTAATGGTCTCAGTGTTTCTTTCAAGTTCACAGTAGTGACTCATGGTTTCCTTGGTACCATCTATGCAATGTTTTCCTTTTCTGACCTCTCTGGGAAAGAAGGTCATCTTTGGTCTCATCAGAAGCAGAGATGTTTAAGAATCATGGCTGAAGCAGAGAATTCTTAACATGTCCATCTCAGTTTGGTCAGCTTTCTCTAACGTAGTTTTTGGTTTCAGTATACTTCAAGAAAAACACTTTTTTGGTGTCTTTAGACAACTTTTCCCCCATAAATTTAATTAACTAGATCAGCTACCATTAATTTTTCAAGGGTATCTGTCTGGGTGATTTCAATTATCATTTTAAAAACTAAAATGATGACTTCAGAAAACTCCCCTTGTCCCTCCTTTCTCTTTCCCCCCCAACATATGTGTACATGTGTGAAAGGTAGAAGACAGTTTGTGGGAGTCAATTCTCTCCTTCCTCCTGGAGGTCCCAGGGTTTCGACGTAGGTCCTCAGGCAAACATCTTTGTTCACTAAACTAACTCAACAGTCCCTCTTGCTGAGATTTAATTGTGAAAGGTGGTGGGAACATGTGGGACCTTTAATAAGGGGTAGCTAGGATTCTGTCCTTAGGAATGTGGGTTGCTCTCTTGACATAATGTATAGATTAATGGGCTATCTCAAGAGTATGACTGCCATATAAGCCAGCTTGACTAGGTCTTAGCTTTGCTTTCTGTGTCATTTCTCTGCCTTAGGACTCTGCAGACAGAATACAGTCTTTGACTTGGACCAAAGCTATGAGCCAAATTTATAACTCCTCATAAATGGCCAAGTCTGAGATACTGTGCTATTAGCAACAGAAACAGAATAAGATACATATATACCCCTTATGATGATTTCAGTTAAGTTATAGTCTTATAGCTTCTAAATGTAATAGCTTCCAGTCACAATGAGAAAATGTGGTTCAAGACACAAAATTTGTTGTCTTACCCTAGTAATTCACAAACAACAGCTGAAACATTTACCACAGGCTACTGGCAAAGCCTTATCAATTATGAATATCAATCTACCCCAAGAAAAAATCCTTTGAGAAAGACAAATCATGATTTAGCAGATATTCAAAGATTAAACAGACCAGGTAAAAAGAACTAAAAATGCACATTTAACTAAGTTCTCCCAAATGAAGGGAAAAGACTACCACAGATGAAGACTAGAGAGAAAAGATAGGAAGAATCCCCTTGAACGCTCTGAATATTTGGACACCTTCCTACATTAGCAGTGACAAGCATGAAGCACTATATCCCGATTGTCCATAGAAGTTTTCAAGTCCCTCCTTTTCCCGAGGACTCGACTCTTTCCTTGGGTAGGTCTGGGTTTGCCATTTAAAACAAGTCTTGCAACTTTTTTCAAAAACAGAGCAAAATGTTCTGTAAATAGATGGACTATTATGCTAAGTAAACATGCCAGAAGGATTTCAAATAAAAGCTGTGGGGACCATAGAGGCAGTACAAAATGTCCAAGAAGAAATTAAAAGAAAAAATGTAAAGCTATAAATCATGTGCTCATAAGGCATGAGAATGACCCAAGCAAACATTTTTTAGGTCTGTGGGCACAGTGCAAGTTGTCACCTACTGTAAGGACACAGCTGGCAGAGTGGACAAGGGAATGATCTCCACTGGAGAAACAGCTGTGAGCCCAAAGCAAAAACATAGTGAGAGTCACGTTCTTTCCGTCACAACAAATGCACCAGGGTTACGCCTGCAAAACCTCTTCTTCCATACAATTCCCTTTGGTCTGGGCATGTTTGATTTATTCTAGGTGGTACAACCTAATGAGGCTTCATTGCAGAATAAAATAATAGAAAGCTCAGAAGGGCTGCCAAATTCTCTAGTCATAATAGATCTTCCTGACGCCCCGGACTTCTCTGAGAAGTGAGGAAAGCTCCCTCAGAAATGAACACAAAGGACAGGAAAGTACAATTTAGAGTTTGAAATGTTAAGGATTCTGTCATGCCCATATTCCTTACTTCAGCATTCAGAAAAGTGAATCCTTGAAGGGTCCAGCAGTCTGCCTATGGACAGATGAACAGCTATTCAATGGTATTCAAACTATCCTGTGTCCCCACCTTCTACCAGTTTGCTGTGCCCTGCCTTTCTTTAATAGAAATTCTGCAATTTTGTGCAGGACCTCCCATTGGAAGGAATCAGGCTGCTGGATTAGCACAGGAAATGCTTAATTTTACCAACACACACATACACACACACACACACACACACACACTCTCTCTCACACACACACACACACACACACACACACACACACACGCATGAAACAAATCTACATAAGCCTGTGGCTAAAAGTAGCTTCCGGTGAATTGCCATCGGCTTTCACCCTCTATTCTACTTTGTAGCCTAGCAAGCCTAGGCCCACACGCAGGAGTCACACCCCAGCACTTCTGTAGTGGGGTCCACACAGCTGCCCTAGAGACTGGTGGGGCTGTTCTGTTCTAGACTACCAATTCTGGTGACAGCAGTGGCTTTTGAGCAATCTTTCAAAACCTCGCCTACGTCAAGCCAAGTTTTATCTGGAAGCACAAATCTCTAAACAAAAGTCAAAGGTCTTGGTGGCTCTAGGGACCACTGACTGCTACTGCTCCTGAGGGCACAGGAGAGGTTAAGGGCCCCAGAGCTGCGTTTCACCTCTCCTACACTCCAGTTTCTTTCTTGTTTGGATCATCTTTACATTCCCTCCTACATCCTGTACACCACCACCACCACCATAAATGGCTGAGCATCAGAACGTGCTGGTCCAGACACTCTCCTAATTTCAATTCTCACAATCATTTGATAAGATTAAGCACAATTAACTTATTGTAAGTGGCAAGAAAACTGAGGCGGAGAGAAACTGTGATAATTACTGGTTTAAAAAAAACCCTACCTTATTTAATATCTCCCACAAAACTGAGAAGTAGAACCTGAGATTTAGAAAGGTAATTACCTATCTAATGTTGCAGTTCTCTCCTCCCATATGGGGTCCCAGGCATAGAACCCGGGTGGGCAGGCTTGTCAGTAGGTGACTTTACCTGCCAAGCCATCTTGCTGGCCCTGCTGTTGGTTATTTATTTATTTTTTTGGTACAGGTACAGTGGGGCACTCACACTGTAATTCGGAGAGCATATCTATCAAACTTGATCAATAATTCTCTGTGCTCAGGGGTTGTTTTATACATTTTAGCTTCCTTCTCCATAAAATATAGGCTGTGAATTGTATAGGTCTTAATTCAGTTACAAGTGACCTTACTTGACTTATTTTCAAATGTCTTAATATAAAATGTCCAAGGAAGCACTGATTTCACTAGAGGAACTCGTGGATGTTTTCCCAAGTCAAATGCTGGAAGTCAGAAAACTTTTTCCCCCTTTTATTGAGACAGCGTTTTTCTCTGTGTAGCTTTGAAGCCTGTACTAGAACTCTCTCTGTAGACCAGACTGGCTTTTGGCCTTGAACTCACAGAGATCTGCCTGTCTCTGCCTCCTGAGTGAGTGCTGGGATTAAAGATGTGTGCCACAATCACCCAACTATTAAACCTTTTTTCTTGTTCAGTGATTTTTAACATTTGTGCTCAAAATGAGAAATTATATTTTACTGTCAATATTAACAAGTGCCCCTTTCCAAGCATTTCTTCTTTCCTTTTTTTCTCAGCTTCTTAACGTATTCGGAGTTTTTCTTTTTTTAATGTATCAACTTATTATTATAAGGTAATACTCGGCAGACAAAGACAAGAACAGAGAGTCTTGGAAGGTATTTGTAATACCCACCTGTGCTACTTGAAAATACCACTTTGACATTTACAAGAAGTGGTGTTTACTAATTCATTTGCAAGGAATTTCTCTTAAGCATTGCATTCATCATCATACGTTCAGCCTGTGGTCGGATATACCTCATCTTCCGACAAATGGACCACCTGTTTTTAAATGTATTTCATTTTGTGTGTATGGGTGTTTTTACATGTCTGAATGTTTACCTCTGCACCATGTGTATGCCTGGTGTCAAGGAGGTCAGAAATGGGCATTGGATCCCCTAGAACTGGAGTTACAGAACCCATGTCTTCTGGAACAACAGCTGGTACTATGGACCTCTGAGCACCTCTCCAGCTCGTGACCACCTATTTGATATTTGTGGCTCCCCAAGCTTACTCTCAGCAGCCACCAATATAGTAGCAGGGTTATTTTCTAGTGACCTACTTTAAAGCATAAGTTAGAGCTTTGTGTTAACGGATATTCTTAAAATCTGTATAATGTAGAATCACTTGGAGATAAGAATTGGGACTGAATATACAACAAAGATAATGACCTTTTGATTGGTTTAAAATTACTATTTATTTATCTGTCTATTTATTTATTTTTGCCACATTCATTGTTGAATCTATGGCATCGAACATGGAAGTTTTCTAGCCCTGAGCTGCACCTTGAGCTTTTGACAGAATAGGCCGTCTAGAGCAAGCTGTTCTGAAACCTCCTTGCAGAACTTCATGAAAAATGTAGGTGCTGGACCCTTTCCCAGATGTACTGAATCAGTTCCCTGGATCAGGGCCCAGTGTTTCATAAGATCCTCAAGCAATGGTGATGTGCATCAAAGTGCAGCCTGTGCCTTCTACATTCACCCAATGACACTGGATGATGATGACTGTGAGGGTTTGCTTTAATCATCAACTTGAGGCCACGTAGATTTACCTGGGAAGGGAGTCTCAACATGAGGTTGCTTTGCAAGCATATCTGTGGCAGGCTATCTTGGTTGCTCCAATTGGAGGGGAAAGACCTACCCACTGTGGGTGGCACCATTCCCTGGACCATGAAATGCCCACTGTATTAGAATGGAGGAAGTGAACTGAACACTGGTATCTATGTACTAATTTACTGCTCTCTGCTGACTGGGGGTGTGATGTAACCAGGAGCTTCAAGTCCCGGCCATCTTGGCTTCCCCTCAGTGATGGACTATAACTTAGAATTCTGAGCCAAATAACCCCTCTCTCTAAAGTTGTTTCTGTTACTCACAACAAAAACGGAAAGGAAAACTAGGACAATGAGCCTGGTGGCATGGATTAAAAAAGATCACAACTTTCATGAGGCCAGGCTAGTCTACAAAGGAAAGTCTGAATTCAAGAAATGAAGCAAAACAAAACACACACATACAAAAGAAAACAACAAATATCCCAAATACTTGAATTTTGTGCTGGCAATGCATGTAACTCAATGATAAAGCACTTACTTAGCAAACAGAAAGCCTTAATACCACATGTACCATTCCGAACACATAGGGTGGAAGGGTGGTTCAACAAATTAACATCTTCTATTGATATACACAAAGCTTAGAAAAAACTTAGAACATAGACACAGATCCTCTTTTTAATATCTCTTGAATTGCCAATTAACAAGAGACTTGAAGAAAAGGACCATGCTCTATGTTTCCAAAACTACTTCCTCCTCAACCCCATATATCTGGTACTCAACACTGAGCTGGAAGGCCAATAGTGGTATTACTTTGCTCATTAGACTTTCAAGTGAAACATGCATACACTGTCAACTGTTTTATGACTTTCAGCACTAGGGAACAGACTCAGGGCCTTGTGCACACTGGGCAAGAATGCTTTTAAATCTGGAATGTCTTGGCATGCCAAGGAATCTGCATAAATCGTGTGTGTTTGTGTGTGTGTGTGTGTGTGTTTCTAATTATTCACTGAAGCTAAATTAGCCAAACCCTAACTACAAAACTCAACTTCTATTTTCAAGTTCTGTTATGAACAACAACAACAACACACACACACATACACACACACACACACACACAATCAACCCATAAACCAGCAATGTGTACCTAAAGATGGAACTTCCTCTGTTTCATATTCTAATACCAGCAAGTGTACTTTATTCATTTTCTCCACATAACAACTCTTATTTCTTCCCCTTTCTTGTACCACCTATGTTGTCTAGCTCATTTTTAAATAACCGAGAGACCTTAGCCACGAAGTTAAGGAATTTTCACTCAATTTGCTTTTCTTTCTTTCAGGTCATCATATAGAACTAGGCTGTCATCCACCTTATGATTCTCCTGTCTCAGCTTCTTGAGTCACTGAATGTGTACTTCATCACGCCTAACTCAAATTTTGATGATACTGAAATCATAATACGCCGCCCAAGTTAAGTATAAAGCATCTCTCCTAGGTCATGAGAGTGCATCCCAGCTGTGCTTTGCTCTGACTTGAGTCTTGACAGAAGCATTGAGCAAAACAAAGCAGGAGGCCACGCCACTCGTGTACAGAATGACTTTTGCTAAGGGAAGGCCTCCAATGTGACAAGCATGGAGGTGAGTAGTTTTAGGGCATGAGAGAAGCACTTCTTGCTACATTCACTGGGAGCAAATCTCTTGCCACACATGGTAACCTTTTTGCTGATAGGGGAACATGGCCGTCACAGGTGTCCTGTGGCTAAACTTCCTACAAGAGTAGGGAGGCATGTAGCAGACATAGTCACACAGGAAAATTCACTCAGCAGATAATGGGGAAAAGCCAGCCGCTGTCTTTGACTGAGGGGACTAGACTAGCAAAGAGCTAAAGTCTGCATTGGTGATCAGTGGGCCAGTTTTACAGACAACCTCTCCAAGACCAAAGCATCTCTCACATGCTCTGTAGAAGCCCTTCAAACTTACACCATCCTTCTTTAGAGAACTATGAACTCAGGCAGGACTGCCCCAAGTCTATGGTCAGCAAGCACAGGGAAGAGTTGTAGCTGCCCAAATTGTTCCTTACTTACCAATTTTGTGATGTCTTTTACATTATCAGTCACGGGATTCCCGCAGATCTCCTTAGTTTTGACGAGAGGATTAAATAGGAGCAGCTGAAGATAAATGCAAGTGATAATCCAAGTCTAAACAAAAACAGAAACATTTCTTGGAGCCCATTGGTTAAAATTCCATAATTATGCAAACCAGTAACCACGTTATACCATATGTGGTAAATGCAAATATACCAGCGCATTTTCAAAAACCTGATGGCTTAAACATAATTAAATGTTAAGCATTCAAGCTGCTCTCAGCAACCTTAAAAGAAAAAGAGCAACAACAACAAAATACTTCTGGATACAATCCTGATTGAATTATTCTTTCAATGGCTTTACTGTTACCTTCTGTTGTAAGCTTTCTACAGTCAATTTCCTAATAGCAATTAGGAATGAACTTGTAGCAACATGTGGGGGAATCATCACTTAGTGGGGAGGAATGATCTCTTAGGGGGACCTCAGAAAAAGTAGGAATGCATGAAATTCATACCCTAAGGCTGAAGGGAACCACTTTCCTTTTAAATGTAGACAGTTTGGCAAGCAGGAACACAACCTTGAGAGGGACTTTCATTCAGACCTCTACATTGGCACACCACGCCACAGTGAGGCTTCGAGTGTCCTTAGATGGGAGGCAAAATTTAAACTCATTTCTAAGACAAGTGAACTGCTGTGTGGACTCAGTTTGTTAGCCACTTTATAGGGAAAACATTTCCTTAGCCAATAGTTAAATATTTCTTAACTCTGATGGAAAATTTTCTCTCCCTCTCTCTCTCTCTCTGTTTCCCTTTCCCTCTCTCTCTCTCCTCCCTCCCTCTTTCCTCTTTCACCCCGTGCCCCTCCCCACTTCGTCCCTCCCTCCCTCTCTCTTCCTCTTCTGTCTCTCTCTTCCTGCCTCTCTGTCTGTCTCCCTCACCTCCTCCCTCTCTTTCACAGACGCGCGCGTGTGCACGCTCACACACACACACACACACACACACACCTAAGAAAATAACACCTTTCACCATGGATTAGTTATTTTTATGCACAACTTGTTTCTCTTTCTTACAATATATCATAGAATTTTCAGAACTTAAGTATCTGATTCGCCTTTTTTTTTCCCTCAAGCATCTATGAAACACACACACCAGTGCCTTGCATACAAAAATCCCTCAATGTGTCTTTGCCAGATGAATTCATGACCAAGACAAAAAAAAATCTATTTTAATTCTCTACTCCAGTAACCACTTACTGAACAAGTGTCAGCAGGCAGTGTCTGCAGCAGTCACCGTGGAAACAAAGATGATGAAGATGTCCTTGAAACGCTGAGGCAGGTAAATAAATAATACCTCAATCCATGACAAATGTTTTGGGAACACAGAGAAGAACGCAATTAATCAGTTAATCATAAGGGGAGACAAGGAGTAAGAAGGCAGCTCCAATGAAACCACTGAGAGAGAAAATGTGACTCCTGTTAGATCCGAAGACACAAGGACTTTGTAAACGGCGATAAAGAAAGAATGGCCATTGCAGAATAAATAAATAACCGAATCAAAGGCATGCGAAAGCATTTAAAAACACATTAGGTCTTTTGTGAACTAGTCATCTGCGGCATTTTAAAAGTATACAAAAACACAGGTGCCCATGACTAAAATCTTCCCTACTTCTGTAGCTTGCCACATATTAAAAGGAAGTGAATTATCATTTTCTAAATAAATATCTGCACACTGACACACTGGACCACATGACCATCTTCATGTCACTACAATAGCTCTTTGGTGGATGTAGTGGCTTACAAATGGAATTAAAACCTCTTCTTCTTTCACTACTTGGGGTCTGCTTTAGCAGGATTCATACTTTAGTTTACTTAGGGCTACTCTGAGCACTGTGGGGACATACTCTCATTATACCATCTCCCTTAGCCCATAGCTAAGACCAGATTGTACAAATGACCTGCCTGGGGATCCCTGTGTGGGGCAATAACTTGGCACACACATTTCTGCTTAATATCACAGCTTTCCTTCATGGGTATTTATTGCATTATGCCTTTCTCTTATATTGCTGATGATGAGATGTGACTCCCCCTGAAAATTATTTCTCCAAGGCCCTTTATCCTGATAAGATTTGGGAAGCCTCCCTAAGGACCTTGGTAACTGGTCAACCTGCCAACCTCTCCAAGAATAATGTTCATACTGTAGGTCCTAGTAAACATGGAGGCAGAAGATGTTTCTTGTCTTTACCATGCAGTAAGTATGTCTGGCACTGAATGAATAAAAGTTGCAAAGAGAGAGAGAGAGAGACAGAGACAGAGAGGCACAGAGATAGAGAGAAATAAAAATTTCTCATTTCATTCAGTGAATAGTTACTGGGTGCTTTATTGCGTATATATCATGTGCCATGCTCTTGATACTAGGTATACACTGAAAAGGCAAAATACCTCTTCCTCCATAAACCTCACCTTTAACTTAGGTACATGAACAAAAATCAGGAATGAAACTGTATTACATATCCTGTTATAAGGACTTAGGAAAAAGAATCATTAGAGCCAGGGAAATGGATTGGTACTAAAACCATTAAAATGAGATAATTTGAACTGAAAAATCACAAATAGGCATGATTTCTGTAAGAAAAGGCCTAGGTATGGGACTCAATTTCAATGGGCCCTACTCTGTTGCACTTCAAAGCTATTGTGGTCTTTACAGACTGAAGGTTTGTAACAAGCACATAGTGATGGAGTCTATGGGTGCCAATTTCCCACACCTCTGGTGATCCTCAGCATTTTTACCAATAAAGTAACTTTAAATTTCACTTTAATGTGTACAAGTGTATTTTCTGTATGTATATCTGTGTACCACATACAATCCTGATGCCCACAGAGGCTAGAAGCGGGTGATAGACACCGTGGAACTGGAGTTAGTAGACAGTCTGTCAGCTATCACATGGGTGCTTGGAATCGAACCCCTGGATCTTCTGAAAGAGCAGCCAATATTCTAGGGGCACTGAGCCCCCAGTAAAGTGTTTTACTTCAGCTGTGCATACTGTTTACTTAGACATAATGCTGTTACATACTTAGTGGTATTCAGTGTAGTGTAGACATGCATGTTATAAGTACAGGAAAACCAATGACTTAGTGACTTTCTTTACTGTCATGATAGTTTTTGATACAGTGTCTGGAATGGAACCCACACTATCTCCAGCTTCAGAGAAAAACTCAGGACAGGCAGCAAAGAGCAGATACAGCTGAGCTGAAATCCCACAGCTTCCAGACCATCTCTAATGTCTGCAAGTCACTCCATACTTGGTATGTGCATGACAATGACAGATTACAGCTATGCAGGTCAGCCCCTCTAGCTATAAAGTCCCAGTTCAGTGGCCCTTTAGAGACCCTGAGAAGCGTCATCCTTCTACCAGAGCATTTAAGCACTAGTAATACTTTGTCTGCTACTTAATATCTTTAGCCATATTCTCTTGGATGAAATACAGACATGCTACGTGCATATTTTGAGTTCATGTGTTTGGAAAAAAAATTATAGGGAGGACCAAATTCCCTGGCATCCCTGAGTCTAAAGAGACCATTAGAGCTAGCCTTTACCTTCGTCCTTCCAGGACCAACATTTTAAACGCAGAGACCAGTGGGTGCCTCCTGGGTGTTTCCCAAAGGACTGGGTGAAACTAAAGTAGTTCCCTTAGACATCTGTGGGAAATCGCTGCTAAAGACAAAAGAGGATGCCAAGTCCCGAAGGTATACTGAAGGGATCATGTTTATTTAAAGAGCTAGAGTAAACGGGAGAGGCAGATGGCATCAGAGAGGATTGGGGAGGCAAAAATCAAGGGTATGTAGTCTTCAGTCCAGTTTTACTGCGAGTGGGACAAGATTCATTGATGACTGAACAAGATTCATGGGAGGGATATGAGCAGACTTCACATGAAAATAAAACAGGAGTAAGTTAGGTAAGGGGCTAGGGGTAGAGTGCTTGTTAACATGCCTAAAGCCTTGAGTTCGATCCCTGGGACCACATAAACTGGGCATGCTGTTGCACACCTGTTATCCCAGTATCTCAAGAGAAGGAAGCAAGCTTAAGGGTCAACGTCCAAGGCTATTCTCAACTAGATAGCAAGTTTGAGGCCAACCTGGGACACAAACAACCATGTCTGCAAATAAACGCTTTCATTAACTAAGACTCCTTGAAATAGGTAAGATCACTGTGATGGCTTTAGGGTAACACAAGGTAGGGACATTTTGAAAAGAAGAAAGAAAGGAGATAACAATGGAGAGTCACCCCTCTAAGCCACCAAAGAATGCTAATGAAAATGCACTGACCAGCACTCAAGAGTCTGGGCCTCTGCAGGCTGCCCCCTGAGTCCAGAGAATTCCAGCTGGAGTGTGAATTTAAACTCAAGTCAATTCAAGGATTTGCACCTGAACAAACGATTGGTTGTGAGATGAGTGTAGGGCAGACTAGAAGCTACACTGCATATAAGGTAACTTGTGCGGTCTTCGGGTAATGACACCAGGTCAGGACACTGAAATCTGGATTTGCAGTACGG